GGCCGCGGGGCCAGCGCCAGCCAGTGTGTGAACCCGCAGACGGCTGGGAGAGGGACGGGGCGGGCAGAAACTTCGCGCCCGTGTTGGCGTCTAGACAGAAATGCATGTCCCTGAGGCCAGGCGAAGGGGACAGGCAGACAGACTTCCGGCTTCTTACCTCTGCTCAGGTTGGGGCTGCTCGCCGGCTGGGGCAGGGCGGCCCCACGGTCGGGAGACACCCCCACGCTAGCCACAGTTGTGACCCCGGCCTCTGTGCTGGCAGCCAGGAGGCCAGTAGGTGTGTGGCCCTTACACCAGCGGCCTGGGGCTGTCGTATACCTCATTCTCGCTCTGCTGAGTCCCTCGCTCTGACTTCCTCCAAGCCCCCCAGAGTCGCCAAGCCTGCCTCCCCTCCTCAGTCCTGTTGAACTCTGGCCTATAGCACCAGGGGACCTGTAGCCTAGGGTGGGACCTCCTACAGCCTCCGATGTCGCTGCTTGAAAGCTACTGCAAACTGAGGGCAAACTGCAATCTTCTGTTTCTTTTCACGGCAAGAGGTCTTCACAGGCCCGACATGTCTTTCCCCGCCGGCCTTCAGGGGCCGTCCAGCTGTCCCCGCCCCGCCACCCCACCCATGCCCTGACCGCTGGCCGCTGGGTGGGGGCCACCCTTCCCTGCGAGGCCTCCTCCGGGTCCTGTTTCGGGGCCGGGGGGAGGGGACGACACCAAAGAGGCACCTTCACGCTGACAGCCCCCCCCACACTTCACCTTTTTTCCTTTGGCGTGACCAAAAAAAATCCAAATATTTAAGTTTTTATTATTATTAATGTTATTATTATTTGACAATCTCGTTTCCAGTGGGCTCTCCAGAAGCTGCACCCCCGCCCTTTCACCTTTGAATGTAGCTGCCGACCCTCAGTCCCCTCCAGGGTCCGAGAAGCTCCGCCAGGTCCCCGTGCTGCTGCTATATGCCAGGGCGTGGTTTTTTTGTTTTGTTTTGTTCTGTTTTTTAAATTTCCAGCCAAAACCAAAGATTTCTTAATGATTGTATAAACTCAAAACAAACAAAAAAACCAAAGAAAAGGGAAGTCTTCAGCGTCCATCCAGTCCGTGGCGTCCTCGCGCTGGGAGTGGGGCCACCTGCGGGCTCTGCAGGAGGGGACATGGCCTGCCCTGCTCCCCGCCCTGGGCGTCGGCTCCTGCCCCGTGCGCAGAACCAGTCGGCATTTCACATTTTCAGAACCGTAGCAAAACCCCATCACCGCGATCCCACAGCCACAGCCGCCACCACGGTCACCGCAAGGGCTGAGCACAGGGCGGGGGGCGTGCCGCTGGCCCGGGGTCGCCACGGAGTGGGGAAAGCTGAAGACGGGGGCGCAGGACTGGCCGCTCTGCTGGGCGCTGTGACCTCTGGCGGTGACGCTGAGCGCGCGCCGGGCCCTGCGAGCCTGTCCCTTTCCCCCTTGCTGGAACCGCTCGGCAGCGGCCGTCGCGCTTGTGAGAACGTGCAGAGCGAGGATCAGGCTTTCGTCCCTCGTCCTGTGGTCTGTCCTGTCTGCAGCAGCAACCTGCAACTATGCATTCACAGCCTCTCTGTGCTAGGTAGATGCCTGTGGCTTTTTAACTTGGGGGGTGGGGGGTTGCCAGTGAAGGGACTTTTTACGTGGATCTTTTTAATCTCAGTTGATTGGGGGAGGGGGGTGTTTGGTTCTAGGGTCATACGAGCTCTATCCCAAAGCAAAACCCAGATGTTAATAATATTAGCCTGACGCAGATACCAAAGATGATTCTTCCCCGCAGAGCCTCGCACCCGCGTGGGAGGCGCGATCGCCCAGCACTTGCGCTAGTCTGACCTCAGCAACTCCAAAGCTTAGATGTATATTTTGGTATATTTCTGGGATATTGAAAGAAATGTCGTTTAACTTCTCGTTTGTTTCAGTGTAATGCTCTTAAAGTCATAGCATGGAAATAACTGAGCTGTCCTATTCTTCGTAGTTTGAAATAATAGTATTTTTGTATGTCGGGGTGTCTCTCTGTATGTATTAACATAACAGTTTTCACTGCCTAGGCGCTCATGATAAAAAGGAAGCGGAAACGCTCTGTGTGTCCGTGCTGGTCGCTGGCGGACCCCGCAGGTTGGGTCCGCAGTGCTCACTCGCTGGCGACCGTTCCCCGCCGGGATTTTTGTGTTTTCAAGAGACGGCGATCGTGGTTTTCTAAAGATGTTTTTCTTTCTGTCTTTAACTATCTTAATTCTCTTACCTTTTTCTTTTCTTTTTTTTAATATTGATTCAGGGGTATTTTTCCACTGTTGTCACGGGAGGGACACAAGGGGGAACTGGCCCCTTGGCCCCCCCAGAACTTTGTTTTATGTGCTTAACTTTAAAATGTGAGTTTGAGTTCTCTTTTGTGGAAACTTGACATGTGGTGTAAACGATTCTTTCCAAAATCGTCCAGCAGCTTTCATGAGGCAGTGACAGTCCCTCAGTAGTTTGTTGGGGTCCTCGTACATTTCCCCTCGGGTGACTTTGCAATCTGGGTGGCTATTGTGTAGCCTCACTGCCCCGGAGCACCTGGTTAGCCATTTCCCCTCCGGTAGGAATATTTGATAAGAATCAGCTGATACCTTGGAGTGGGGGACCTTGTCATCTGGGCCCCTGGAAAACACAAACAGCTTTGCGTGTGGGGATCAGCTGATGCCCTGTGCGGCCTGAGGAGGTGGGGCGAATATGTGGTGCTGTCCTTTCCAAGTGCCCTTTCTCCGGTCCCCCCTCCCGGGGCTGCCTGCAGGGGCCGTAGGCTTGGGAGAGACTGTGTAGGTGACAGTGAATCAGAACGAAATGGTAGATTTGGTGTAGATGCATTTGTCTGCTGTAATTTTTTATATATATTAAACTTAACTGTAACTGTACAGTTCATTTCTGTTGTAAACATCATTAAACCATTTTCCAAGTGTTTTCACATTGTTGGGGTTTCTGTGAAGGTGTTGTGTTGGCGCCGTGGGTGCTTCACCCGCATCCGTGCAGACTGCTCACGTAAGCCTTCCAAACCGCGTCCAGCCTCGGCAGTCCCCGGGTCACTGAGCGCAAGATTCCCCCCCTCCCCTCCCCCCCATTGTCCCGTGCCCCACGGGACACTGCGGCCACCACGCCTTCCTCACGAGCCCTTGGAGCCAGTCAGCTGTGGACCCCTTCAGACAGGGGGCCCTCGATGGATCCAGCGAGAGGACACGTGGACACATCCCTCCCACCTCACCGTGAGCTCGGCTGTGGGACCGGCCTAGAACTCGGCTTCTCCAGGTCTGTCGCGTGAACCGCTGGGCCCTCGCGTCTGCTGCTGCGGCCGGCACGTGCGTTCCTGCACCCCTTGGAAGGAGGCTAACCCTGCACTGGCCCCTGGGCCTCTGTCCAGGGCGCACAGCTCAGCCCCTCGGGCCATCACAGCCCCGAGCCTCTCCCAGGGAGAGAGCTCAGGCCCTTCCAAGGGCTGTGGCGGGCTGCTAAGCACAGGTGACAACCGCACGTGGCCGGAGCTATCTGTCCTCTCCTCTGGGCTGCTGTCCTGTAAGGGCCCCCACGGGGGAGGGGGGATCTGCCCCGCCCCCACGGCGCAGACAGGGCCCGGCCCGCCCCTGCTCGCGTGTTCGGCGTGCCTTTAGGTTGCTGACGTGATTTCCCTCAACAGTTTCAGGTTTTGACAGGAGTCCTCCGCTCGGCAGTGACCGCGGCACGCTCGCTAGCAGGCGTGGGAGGCTGGAAGGCAGAGCCCGTCGGCCGTGTCCTGCGGAACGAGGGCGAAGTGCCCGGGAGGTAGGTCCAGTCACCCCGCCGTCCTTTTGTAAAAGGTGGTCGTGTTCTGACCCCTGCCAGTGGCACCGACCAAGCTGACTTACCTGCGAACACTCTTTGCTGCCCCTCCTCCCGGAGACGAGGGCCCGCCCCCCGGGGCTGTGGCACTTGCTCCGTTCCTGGTCCTGGCCCAGCCCGCTGTCCCCGTGTGCCTGTCGTGCA